TCCTTCCTTCCTTCCTTCCTTCCTTCCTTCCTTCCTTCCTTCCTTCCTTCCTGTCTGCCTGCCTGCCTTCTTTTTTGAGACAGAGTTTTGCTCTGTCACCCAAGTTGGAGTGGAGTGGCACGATCTTGGGTCACTGCAACCTCCTATGCTATCTTGGACACCCAGGGTTGACTTATTCTCAGACTGACTCATCTGGGAGGCTCCTTGGTTGATAACTCAGGGTATTTACTCAGTGCTACCTCTTACAATGCTGTTCTTGAAAAAGCAAATAACCGGTTGCCAGAGACTGGTTTTGCTTTAGAACAGTTAAGAAGGTGACTGTGGAATGAGCCTGGATTGGGGTTGATTTCTGCAGATGCCTGTCACCGTGTTAGGTCTATTATTAATACTAACCTGTGACTGCCAATAGCCATGGAGAGGCCTACCATTCTTGTGTGAGAATGACAATAGGCTTCAAATGATCCAGGACTAGTGAAGCATCTGAACACATAGTAGGCTGTCCAAAAATTACTTGTTGAATTTATACATGAATAAAGCGGCCAGTCAGGATGTCCCTACATCATCATCAGCTGGAATAATAGTTAATATTTATTGTTTATTTACTATGTGGCTAAAACTTTTGAAAATACTTTGGAAAGGGAAAGTCATTCCTAAATTGAAAATCCTTAAAAGTCATGTAATCCAGTGATCTTATCTAGGAGCCTTAGGGTTGTCCATATTATCTCAGAGGTTTTGGGTGAGAATAGCCAGGAGGAAGATGAAGGCCCCAGAGTTGGGACTCAAGCCCTGCTTCAATTAAACCAGTAGCACTTTTATCTATCTTCTGTATTGGTAGTGTTAAATGTATGTATATTTAACAATATATTTTAGCAATGACATATATATTAGATACCTAATTAGATATATAAACATCTCTCTCTAATATATATAATTAGAAAGAGGGTTTCATTGCTAAAAACAATGTATTAGGCAATCCCCATATCTTGATCATTGTATATAATATTATATTATATATTATATTATATGTATATATGTATAATATATAACATTATATTCATATATAATTATATATTATATAGTATATTATATACATTATATATACATTATTATATATATTATATAATATGCAACATATTGCATTGCATACAGCATATGCAATGGTAGTCCCACATTATAATGCTGTATTTTGGTAGGCTATGCCATCTAGGTTTGTGTAAGCACACTCTACAATGCCCTTCCCTTCCCTTCCCTTCCTTCCTTCTTCCTTCCCTCCCTCCCTCCCTCCATCCCCCCTTCCCTTCTCTTCCCTTCCCTTCCCTTTCCTTCCTTCCTTCCTTCTTTTTCGAGACAGAGTTTTGCTCTGTCACCCAAATGACAGATGATATGGACAACCCTAAGGCTCCTAGGTGAGATCACTGGATTACATGACTTTTAAGGATTTTCAATTTAGTAATGACTTTCCCTTTCAAAAGTACTTTCAAAAGTTTTAGCCACATAGTAAATACACACACACATATATGTATGTATACATTATATATTATATACATTAAATATATTAAACACACATATATACATTATATATTATATACATTATAAACAAATATAATATATACATATAATATTATATAGGTATAGATACACATATATACATATATAAAATATACATATATTATACATTATATTATATATATATTATATATTATATACAATGATCAAGGTATGTGGATTGCCATTATATATTATATATAATGATCAAATATGTGGATTGCCTAAAAATATTGTTCAATGAGAACACATGGACACGGGGAGAGGAACAACACACACTGGGGCCTGTCAGGGGAGGGCAAGGGGGAAGCACATTAGGAAAAAGAGCTAATACATGCTGGGCTTAATACCTAGGTGGTGCGTTGATAGGTGCAGCAAACCACCATGGCACATGTTTACCTGTGTAACAAACCTGCACATCCTTCACATGTATTCTGGAACTTAAAAAATAAAATAAAAAATAAATAAAGATAAAAATATTGTTCAGGCACATCAACTTCTCTCTCTTGGAAAACTGCAACAGCTTCCTAACCATTTCCCTGACCACCCCCACACTTTCTTGTGCAATCTTGCCCCACCTCCAAGTCCGACCCAATCTTCAGTATGCAAAGTTATATATGTGTATATAGACATATATATGATTATATATAATCATATATATGATTTATATTGCACATGATACATAATATAAATTATATATCACACATATGATTATATATCAGATGTATATGCATATGTGTGTATACATACATGTGTATATATTGATTATATATCATATATAATATATTATATACGTACATATACATATATAATTATATATCACATGTATGATTTATATATGATATATAAATTGTATGTATCACATATATGATATATATCATTAGAAAGAGCGTTTTATTGCTAAAATTTGAATAACAACGCTTCATTCAACACTCTTATTGGGAAAATTAAGTACTACAGTTAGGATGAGACTCAACAAATGCCACACAGTTAAGGAGTGGCAGAGCAGACACTAGAAACTAGGTCTCTGGGACAATGCTCATTCAACCGCACTCCATCACCCTCTTCCATGATATCATCAAGGTATCAATATGGTGACCTTTGGTTTACAAATTGGAGTATAATAATGAAACCTTTACTGAGTCCTCACTTCATGCCAGGCATTATGCTAAGTATTTTACAAGTATTAATTTATTTAACTCTCATAAAATTCTAGATATGTGCTGTTATTGTCATCATTTAACAAATCCAGAAATTGAGTCCCTGAGGAATTAAATAACTTGCTCAAGGAGTCACTAGAATATGTGATGGAGGCAGGATGTGTCTCTGGACAACACGGTTCAGAGCTCATCTTCTGACTTGTGTATTATTCTGTATCCCAAGACTGAAAAGACTTTTATAACAAAGCAAAGATACATAGAGTCAGTGGTCAGCCTTTCCCTCTGCTCAACAATTCTTTTTTTCTGGTCATCTTATTTTCTAACTTTTAAGAAATGGAAGTATTTTGAAAAGTAGTATGGCAATTTCTCATATAACTTACAACAGAAGTACCATTCAACCCAACAATCCCAATATTGGGTATACAGCCCTCAAAATATAAATTGTTTTACCATAAAGAGACATGCACCCGTTATGTCTGTTGCAGCACTATTCACAACAACGAAGACATGGAATCAACTTACATGTCCATCAATGGTGAATTGGATAAAGAAAATGTGGTACACATACATCATGAAATATTACGCAGCCATAAAAAAGGATAAGATCATGTCCTTTTCAGCAACATGGATGGAGATGCAAGTCATGATCCTAAGCAAACTAATGCAGGAACAGATAATCAAATACGGCATGTTCTCGCTGAGAGATGGGAGCTAAATATTGAGAACACATAGACACAAAGAAGGGAACAACAGACAGTGGGGCCTACTTGAGGATGGAGGGTGGGAGTAGGGAGAGGAGCAGGAAACTATGTGTTGGATACTGTGCTTATTAGCCCGGTGATGAAATAATCTGTACATCAAACCCCCATAACATGCAATTTACCTGTATAACAAACCTGCACATTTACCTCTGAACCTAAAATAAAAGTTATAAAAAGAAACGAAAGTTATATAACCCCCAATGGATACATTGAAATCCCTGCTGAGAAAATTAGCAATGAGAGAATTATTTTTCTTCATAGATGAGGGGCCTGGACTCATAGAGGCTCAGACACGAGTCATCATTTCTCATTTGCAAATGCAGATAAAGCGGGAAACTGCATTTGTCTGAGTTCCCAAATTTGGTTTACATGACAGTGTGAACTGTCTAAGTGCACGTGCAGTAAAATGATGGTGTGTGTATGTATGTGTGTGTGTGTGGTGAGGGGTGGGGAGTGAAGGTGGTAGATGTTGAAAGGTAAGGCTAGAGAAATATGCAAGGGACGAATCCTCAATGCCTTGAACTCTTCAGTTGCTGTGCATTGCAGAGGCCACTGAAGAGCTTTAAGGGAATGTATGAACAATTAGCTTTATGTTTATAAATATCACTTTGCATAGTGAAGACGAGGTTGAATTTGGAGGTGTGGTAAGCCTGCACAAGAAAGAGGGGCAGGGAAACGAGTTAGGAAGCTGTTGTAGTTTTCCAAGAGAAGGATGCTGATGGTTTGTTCAAGCAATGGCAGAAGTGCTTGAACAATATTTGTAGTCAATCCACATACCTTGATCAATATGCATTTCAGTGATGAAAAATAATTTCTAGCGTCCCTTAAGCTCTTGGGAAACCCTCCAGTGTTGATTCGATATAATGTTGACTGAAGGCTGGTGGTGTGTGGATGCTTGATTAGAGATTTCAAACTAACTATCCCCTGTACTTGGGGGTGGCAGAGGATGAAAACTGACAAACAGATTTATCACACTGTTGATGCTGAATAATTTAAAATTAAAGTACTCAGTTGCCAGCATAACTGAATGATGTGGATGTGGATGGTGGCTCAAAGAAAGTGAATTGGAAGAGATCCTTATCCTAGAGGATGCTTCAATCTACTGAAGATGAGAAGAACAAAATGGGCACAGTTGCCTGATCAGATTAGGCAGTAAATGAGGAAAGATGCAAGTGCAGGTGATAAGTGCTACAAATGTCACCATAGTTGGCAGGTGGTAAAATGGGCTGAGAGTCAGAAGTAGGCTTAACTTTTC